GTTACACGCAGTACTTCAGCCAGCTTTCACCTCATCGAGGACAATTCAAATTCTAGATTAAGGAAATGCTTCCGTTTCAGAGTCAGGCTCGAAAGACTCGAATTACATTGCGCTGGCGAGCGCTGAAATCGAGGCTAACATTAGCCGGCCACTTGCTCAAACTTACGGTAAACCTCTAACACCAGCCATTACTTACCTGGTCTCGAATTTTGAGAACCACCATATTTGTGGTATTTTAACAGCTCTCATGCAGGTTCATAAAGGAATACTTGTCTCCTTCCGAACAGCAGCGTGTGATCTCGGTTGCTTCTGCCGCTGGTTTTGCTGGAGGCCTAGCGTGACTAGCTTAGCTCGCTCGCTAGCTTCCTAACCTGATGGCATGAAAGCGAGAGGAGTAGCGGAAACTCCATAACATTGCCGCCACCATATTTCACCTCGCCGAAAAGACGCAATCCGATAGGCTAAGAGCGCTCTAGATGTCAGTAAGGGAATCGCTGATTGGTTGTTGCCAGCTGCATTCTGTAACAGCACAGACGCACTTTGTTGAATATTGCACTGCCCTCAGCGCTTATAAGTGTAGATATTTTCTATAAGGAGCAATTTTAAACTCTATATTCCACGTGACATTTATTAACATTGTAATTTACCCATGGTGCACTGCTCTGAATAACGTGGTTTTGAGAACAGCTGAATGTTTTTCTATTTACTAACTGTGACTCATCCTGAAGTTGCACAAGTGCGACAACCATGCAACCGCTGCAGCAACTCCATGGATGCCACTGGGAGTCAAGTGTTGACAGCAGTAATACGAGTTCTCCGGGCTGACGGGGGCCTCCTGGAAACGTTTTTTTTTAAAGGTAAGCAAACACACAACACAAACACAAAACAGTACTATCTATTTATTTTACGGCGACAACAGTAAAATAGATCTGAAATTTATTAAAACTGACTTATTAAAACTGTGAATTACTGGCGGTCCTAAAATGCGAAATGGGTTTCAGGTCTACTGATCCAACACCGAAATTTGATGAAATACGGCCACCTAGTGACTTCCCTTTTAACTACAAGCAGTGGAACTATTTTAGCTTATGGCAATCAATTTAAAACAATATTTTATTTTATGTATGTGTTTTGGTGGTGGGGAGTGATTTGTGATTTAAATATTATTTTTTGTCGGCTGCCCTTCTTTTGCATTAGTTAAAAATATTCAGAGCACCCCTATTCATGTACAAGTGTTACTGATCCTAGAGCTTTAACAGGATTAGACAACAAAATCCTTTTACACAAAACAAGTCTCTGCATCATTAATCCTGAAGACAAGGCTGCCTTTTTTGTTTTGTTTTGTTTTTTACATTTGAATCATTTGTGGAATGCAACATTTACATCATTTCCTCTTTTCCGGTAGGACACTACAGACAGGACTAACAGGAATGACAGGAAGCACAAAACAAAAGGGCAGGGATGCAAAAGTTGTCTCTTTATGGTGTCCTTACTGACTCTGTGGTTCTGTCATAGAGGCGAGGATAGCTCTAGGCATTTCTGGTAGAGTCAATAGTTCACAGAGTACATAGCATTTCAAGAATAGCAGAATGAAGAGGAGTTTCTATCTGCTAGCAAGCAGGGCATCAAACGCCCTGATGGCACCATATGTAATAGTCATTATGATGTGCAGTAATGCAACACGTGTGGTGGTGTTCTAATAAAATAGTGTTATGTGTTACATGCAATGTTGTATTGTGTAAATGACTGTCACTGCAAGTAAGGCACCTAATCTAATTATATTTCATGTATTAATAATAACAATAAATACTAATTCTAATTCATAGTATTCTACAACAGTAAAAGATTAATAACACTTGTACTGATTATAAAGTGCAATTGTTCTTTGTGAGAAAATCGTGTCATTAATATGCTTTTAGTGCAACTCTTTCACTATTCAGGCATTTGCCTAGAGGTGTAAGAGGTCATAGTGTTTACTATCCAACCAATCCATTAGGACTTCAAAAAAAAAAAGCGGCATGGCACAGCCAGTTAGTGATGAAGGTAGCAGGGCTTTGGTGAAAGAATGGGGGCTATGTTCACTGACTTTTGGGGGTAGTTTCACATTTCAGTGCAGTGGATTTACAGGTTGGGGGAGATGGGAAAAAAACACCGTTGCAGCTATGTGGATGATTTTGGATATAGACTGGTCACCTTTGCTTGGGGTAATCCTCCTGGATCTGTCTCTAAGCCCTCCCAAAGGCCAAAGTATCCCCAGTGGGGGTACTTTCTCACTGCCAGGGCGGTGACGGAGGGGAGGTTCCCACCAATTCAATTAGGAAGAGAAGAAACACAGTAAAAGCATAAATGAAGAAAACAGATGCTTACACACATACCTCCCCAATTTCCAGCATGCTTTAAAAACTGCCCCCTGACCTTGTATTTACATTCTTCTTGTTTACAGGACCCCTTGTGGGGCGTGCTTGTAAAAGAGACGGCCACAGAACGAAGGATATATACTACAAAAAATATAAAATAACCTAATAACCTTGAGCTTTTGATATGGAATAAAAAAATTTAACTATGTTCTTATATTAAAGTAGATGCATAACCTAAACAGTAGAAACATTTATTGAGGGTTTGAAGGAATATTTTAAACCATAGCTTGAGACAATATGTATAATGTCATTTTTTCAAGGTTCAATTAAGATTTTTCTGCTTCTGAGCTAGATTTCCAGTTTTACAAGATGACTCTATTCACTAAAACCCACCGAACATATATCATCATATACCTTTTTGTCATAAATATGAGAGAACCAGTAGAATAAACCCTCTCAGTACTTATGTCAGATGGGACTGTTATAAAAAATCTTTTTAAGTATACATATCTCTCTTGGTTTTTCCAGACTGGTAGATATCAGTATCTTTGTTTCTAATTTGTTCTTGAGTTTCTTTAGATTGTGGCACGATGTGTTGCATTTTAAGATCTTTTTGATCTCTACTTTGTCAGACAGGTCCTATTTAAGTGTTTTCTTGATGCAATACGTCTGGCAGTAATTGGGCTTGTGTAATTGAACTTGGCTTTGCAAAAAATCTGGTAAATCACAGCTAATTTCTGATTTAACAAGTGTGGGCAATTCCTTTTTCACACTGGGCCAGGTAGGTTTGCATAGCTTCTTTCCCTCAATAATTGAAAACATCATTTTAAAAAGGCATTTTCTCAGGATATCAGAAACATGTACATGTTCATATTGTGTACATATATGAACTGTTGGGAATAAATAATTTTTTAGTGCTATGCGTTTTTATTAATAAGTGTTATAAAGTTATATAGTGTAGTATTAAGTGGACACAGCCCTGAAAATAAAGGTATGAGACCATGTGTCCTTGGGGAGTAGAAAGCTGCAGACTTTGCTCACGCTTGTCTGGGAAAAAGTAGATAAGAGGGGACCATCTCTAGTGCAAAGTTACTGAGACACTGTTGTTTAGACTAGAATGAGAGAGCTTCTGTAATAAAACTGTTATAGGCACACTGCCATTTTGAGATCCGCGGCAGCGTGTCATGTAGGACGCATCTCCCTTCTAGAAGTAATAAAGTGTTAAATGGTCTACTGATCAGTGTTTTGTCTTCCATTGGAGGCCTCTGAGCAAATACTTTTTCACAGCGCTGCATTTTTCCCCAAGCAGTTCAAATGCAGAAATTCTGATTGGTTGTATATATACATACCTGTGAAGACAAAGCTCACATAATATTGCTGTCAAATGACACGGTCTTTAGAGGCCAGATGCGAGCTCTGGGGTCCCTTGCAGAGACACAGGCAAGCTGCAGGATCATGCCTCAGATGCACTGATATTTGGCTGTGCCCCTGCCTCTCCAGATGTCAGGATGAGAGATAGCACACAGCTGGACAGTAGGGATTCTGGGATGAAAGTGGTGTCACCCACTGGGCCAGTCCCAGCTGCTGGAGGAAAGTGACAAGATCGGAAGAGATTTCATCTCCCTGTTTCCCACCACTGTTCTTGGAGTGCTGATATAGACCCAAAGATTAGATTTTCAACAAGTTATACACCGTCTTCTTAATGTTTGTAAAGAAGAGAGCTCAGCAAGACCTTAAATGAATTAAAGTAGCATTGATTTCATGAACAAGACCAAACTGGAGACATATAAACATCTGAGCAGTGATGTGGGAAAAAAAAAGTGAAAACAGATGATCTGGGGTTTGTTCTCTTAAAAGGAGGACATTTATCCGTGGGTCTGAACAGTAAAATAAGGCAAGCTACTGAAGAATGCTTTGAAGTGACAAATAAAAATGTGAGTCCACGGACAGCTGCAGATTTATAACGGTGACAAATCTGCATATAATTTCTGCTAATCACATAATCAGTGAGGCATTGTTCCTGCCTGAGATAAAAGCATCTCCTTTTTACCAAATGGTAATCAGAAGGGGGGGGGAATGCAAAGCTTCATTGTTCTTTCATGACTTTGAAGCAAGGGAAGGAGCACAGTGACTGTGACTGAGAGCATGCTTTAAAAAATAATAATAAAATGACAATGCGAACTTGTCTGACAACCGGGCATCTCAACATTTGTTAATATGTTCTTAATTTATAGCTGAATGCATTCCTATCAGAGTTACTGTATTAGGGGATTAGACCAATGTAATTACCAGTAGATGGCGCTGTTTCCATTTTAATGATCTTGTTATTAGACGCTGTATGTGCTATTTTTAGATGGTGCATCACTGCAAAGTGTATGCAGCTGTCAAAACACTCACTTTGGAATTTTATGTTATGCAATAACAAAAAAATAATAGCCCCTTAACAACAGACACTAGTGTCCCAAAGCCCTATTATCAGTACTAGTGCTCTGATTTCTAATTAGAGTGACTGATAATAATAATAATAATAATAAAAGAGTAAAAGTTACACAGATTATTTGCACACTAGCTGTAAAGCTCAAATTATAACACCAGTTAAAAGATATTTTTTCCACAAAGGAAGTTGATTTATGAAGTTAGCGGTGCACCTGCTGAGGACACTCAGCGACCGGAGCTGCCCTCGTTTCTCCGTCAACTGCGATTATCAGAGGACAGCGGAGCAGACAGACTGCTCAGTCTGCCACTACCCTGGCTGGGATTTCTATGCCCTGTTTCGACGAAGTAGCTAAGGCTTTTTATAGCTTCATCCCGTTGCGTCCTCATCCCCCTGCAGAGAGCTATCTTCACATTCTGCACATCAAACCCTCAACCGTGCGCCCGAGGTAGTGAAAGAGTTCATTTCAGTCTTTTTAAGTGACAAAAAATACACGTATAAAACTAGTGTGTTTCATACAAGTGTTGCTGTGAAATATTTAAGAGTATGTGAGAGCTTTCATAAGATAGCTTAGAGGGTACAAATAAAGTATTAACTAATATATCGTTAGCTTCATAGCATAAGTGCCTAAGTCATTTTTTTGTGATGACATAGGCAGACGGACAGGATGATGCAGCAGTGGTAGGGGAGTAAAGTTAGGCAAAAATCTCAATTTGACCAAAAAATGACTTAGGCACTTATGCTATGAAGCTAACGATATATTTTTTTAGCAGCCAGCTGTGTAAGAACAATACGCTGTATGTTAACGGCAAGTTTGCTGTACAGTATGCTAGACAGCGAGTTCAGCGCATTAATATTTGAACGGTTAACCGTTGTTCTGCAGTCACAGGTGGTCGTCCTCTAATCGATTGTGAGTCCGCCAGTAAAAGTGGACCGGAACTGTGAGTATTAGAGCAATTCGTGACATTCTTCACACAACCACAATACTGGAAATGTTTTTTTTTTCTGAATTACTAAGTGACCTCATCATTGCTGGTTTCGCAGACTGTTATTAGTTCCAAGATGTGGGGTATTGTAGTGCAGGCTGGCGCCTATAAATAGACTCGCTTGCGAATGTATGATCTCATCGAAGTCGGTTGAAGCGTTAAAGTCATTATTAAAGAACTCGTCAGCCAACCAGATAGCATCACTCCTTGTCACAAAGTAGACTACTCATTACTTACACGGGCTAATATAGCTTTTCAATAAGGAGCGGAATGACACACTCACGGGGTTAAGAGCAGAAACTAGGAGTGTAATTAGAACTTTAAGTAGTCTGAAAAGAAAAATCTCAACACAGAACTTCGGTTAATTAATTCTCAGAGCTGCTTTGCATTAGAGGTGAAAGAAGCATTCAGAGCAGGGAGCAAGCAAACGACACTAATAAATACTCCACTGCAAGTGAAAGACGTAAAAAAAAGTGCACAGGCCTACCCAGAATATGCTCACAAGGCAGAATGATTCATTACACTGTTATAATATTATCAGAACAGTATTATTGGTTCTTCAACATGTGAACAGTGTTTTAATAATATAATTGGCAAGATAGATTCATAGGTAGAACTCAGATAGCCAAGTAAAGTATCTTATGGTGTATCTGAGCACTTCAATTTTTGTGTTTTACATATGAAAATCTTGTGTGTTCTCAGTTTTAGCATTAGTTATACTGGTTCAGTTGCTCATTAATGTGAAAATCTAATCAGCCAATCACATGGCAGCATCTCATTCCATTTAGGCATGTAGACATGGTTAAGATGACCTACTGAAGTTTGAGCCGATCATCAGAATGGTGGCTTAAGTGTCTTTTAAGTACCAAGTTTGTTGGTGCCAGACAGGCTGGTCTGAGTATCTCAGAAATTCCTGACCTACTGAAATTTTCCCGCATAACAACCTCTACAGGGAATGTCTGAAAAAGAGAAATTATCCAGTGAGCAGCAGTTCCCTAAGTGACAAGTCTGGCCAGACCGCTCAACCGTAACCCAAATAACCACTCGTTACAAAGTGTGGAGAAAAGCATCTCTGGATACACACATTGAATCTCAAAAATTGGAAGAAAAAAGTTGCCTGGTCTGAGTCTTGATTTCTGCTGGATGGTACAATTAGAATTTGGGGTAAACAACATAAAAGCATGGATCCATCTTGATTTAAATCAACAATTCAGGCTGTTGCTGTTGGTGTAATGGTGTGGGGAGTATTTTGTCGGCACCTTGTGAACCTCTTAGGATGACCTGAATATCGTTTAAACACCACAGCCGACCTCAGTGTTGTTGCTGACCATGTTAATCCCTTTATTAACTACAGTGTACCCATCTTCTGATGGCTCCTTACAGGAGGTTAATGTATCGTGTCCAAAATTTCAGATCATCCCATATTTGAACATAACAAAGAATTCACTGTAGTCAAATAGTCTCCACAGTCACCAGATCTCAATCCAACAGAGCACCGTTGGGATGTGGTTGAAAGTGAGAGTCACATCATTGGATGTGCAGCTGATAAATCTGCAGCAACCATGTTATGCAGTCATGTGGACCAAAATCGCACCTTGTTGAATCTATGCGACGCAGAATTAAGGCAGTTCAGAAGGCATAAAGGGAATCTAACCTGGAACTAGTAAGTGTGTAGTGGTGAAAGATTGCAGAGATAAACATTTCTCAGCTTGCTGCACTTCATATGCGATAAATGCAGATATGAATCTACAGCTTATTTTTTGCATATTGTCTTTACAGATAATGAAGAACCAAAACCACAAGACAGGCAGATAACATGGCAACATCCATGACTGCTCAAAAGTAAGACGCTTGTTTTTTTTAATAGCTGCCAGTAACTAAATGAAAGTTAACTGACAGTGCTGTGTATGAAGTTTGTTTGGTTCTCAGTTTTGCTGGACACCCTGTCACTCCAACAAAAACTTTGAGCAGATGGCTTTGGTAAGCAGTGCTCTTTCCCCAGGTGTCATGTGTTGACAGCAGCGTTTCAGTCTTCTCAGAGCGAGGTAAAAGGGAAAACACAAGAAGCACAGAGCCTCCAGTGTACACATGACATTTTCACTTAGACAAGAAAAACTTGGCTCAAAGTTGACATAAAAGCCTTTCACAGCCAGTCAAAATGACCCTTCAGCTGTCTTTCCATCTCAGAATATTTATGATATTTTTACATTAGACTTGTTCTTGGCAGGTTAATGCTCACAGATGTCTACACTGCTCAGATGGCTTGAGGGGGCAGGTACCATCTGAGCTGTGTCAGGGAGAGAAAGTCATTTTAACAGCACCTTACACTTAGCCTAACACATAATTTCATAGTACCAGTGAATGTGTTAATGAGACAAAATGTTTTTGATAGAACACATTTTGGCAGGCATCTGTGAATTATTCACTGGACTTGATAAGTTACCATGTTCAGCTATTCTCTTGGCAAGAACTATTCACAGAAGCAGCGTGTTGCGCGAGTTCCCCGCTGTGCGATGCATGTTAACTATAGCAGAATATTATCATTGTCCTATAGCTGACGTCTGCCAGATTTGTATCAGTAAAAATATTCTGTTGATGCCGCAGAGTAATCTGTCAGCTGCTACCAGTGATGACATAAGAAGTGGGAGTGAGCTTGTCAAAGTGGAGCGAACACAATGCCTTTTCCTTTTTTTTCTCCTGTCTTTTTTTTCCCCACAACTGAAGTGATGAAAGTGATGAATTACGCTTTGTCACTGTGGATTTATTTCCTGTGTTTGTGTGCCATCCTCGACTGACCGTGACAGCGTGAAGGCAGCCTTCATGTCACGCAGCATAAATTGCAGTTCTAATAGAGAAAAAGAATGCGGTGGTGTTTTGTGCTGGATGACATGACAGAATGATAGAGCTAATCTTCTGCCTCAATTGGGCACAAAGACATTAAAGGAAAAACACAATTGGGCACCTTTGTGCATGTGCTGTCGTGCCAGTCTAGCAATACATTAAAATATCTAGAGCATAGCAACAGTTGGAAGAAATTCATTAGCCATTTGGTCTGTGAAACAGCTATTTATTTATGACGTCTACGCTGGAGGCACTTGATTATCTTGCCAGCAAAACTCAGGTCAAAGTTTTTGAGTTTTGCTTCTTATTTACATTCATGCATTTAAATGAATTCCAGGTGTATGTTTTTTGCACCCCTGTCAATGAAATGATTTCCTCCAAAACAAACGTTCTTGTCCACTTATGTCAGAATACATTAATGGCCCACAATGGCCTCTAAATGAGGTGCTGCCAATTTAATATTAAAGTGGGAGCATTTTGTGTTGATTTGTTTAGTACACATTAAAAGCCCTTAACACCTTCATTATATTAGCCTCGCAGTCATTGTTATCATCATTCATATTCTGTGACCAGATTATGGTCATTACAGGTTTGTTTGTTTAATCAGGATCCCCATTAGCATCAGCGTCGGCCTAGGCTATTCTTCCCAGGGTCCTTAGACACTTAATCCAACATCCACAACACATAAACATAAAACAAGGAGGGTCTTCCTGTACAGATAGCATTGAGTTTCATAGAGCAAGAAATGACTACCTCAGAAGTAGGATGTGTATGCTGCACCAATGTGTCCTCTGTAGCTCTACAGCATATGGATGTTAATCAGTGCCAGGATCTTTTGTTTCATGAGAGCTATTTTATTGATTGGAAATTTTAAAGGCTGCTGAGCTACATTATTCAACATTTGTAAGAGTATAAATTAGAGATGGACCGATCCGATATTACTTATCGGTATTGGTCCGATACTGACCTAAATTACTGGATCGGATATCGGAGAGAAATAAAAAATGTAATCCGATCCATTAAATGTCACGAAAGTGCCTCACAAAACTTACAACACGCCGTAACTCGCCTCATAACCATAGCACGTCGGAGCAGTGTGCTCACGTGATAGAGTGGCTGTGGCTTGCAAGACCTGTGGTGGTCTGGTTGAGCATCTGGAGCTTCGCTACCAATGTGGCATTTCATCTCCGACAAAGTTATCCCAGAGAGAAGTAAAGCAAGTGTGTAAGTTCATCTCTGAATGTTTGTAAAGCATTCCAGCTTAACAACCGATATATGGAGCGACTGCCTCTCTCCCTCCCTCTCCTGTTGCTACTTCAATCGTGAAATGATCAGCTGATCGGCTTTTCTGTCGCGAGTCCGTCCCTCTTGTTTGTTTTTGGCCCACTTTGCACCAGAAAGAAGAAACCAGACACAAAGACATACTTTTCTTTCTTATTCTCATTTAAAATGTCTAGCTTTTATTAAATAATTATCTGAATGTTACACCCAAAGTTTTAATTTGATGTAAAATGAATAGAAGTCCATTACTGTATATAGTAACTATTAAGTCTAATATATACCCTTGTAAGCTATAGTACTTTTTGCTTTGGGAAGGCTGTGCAGTCTGCAATTCTGTTAAAGAAAGATGTTGAATCTATTTAATATTTCTTGAAAAAAAAGATTTCTGTGCATTTTTATTTTCACACTGCATCAAATTAAGGTTGATTACATCGATTAAGCATCATGAGGTGGAGCGTGAGGGGTTGTTCCCTGTTTTTCTTTGTTGTTGTTGCTGGGAGTTGAAACCCTATTAGTTAGGTTGCTTAATATTTACGCTAAGTACTCTTTAAAATACCAGAATAGGGAGGATGGTGTAGGTTTAAGTTTATTAGATTGATCAGTATTGGTGAACTATGAAAAAATTTTTTGCATACAGGTATAACAAAATAGCTTTAGTGTTGTTGTTTTTTTTTTTTATACTTGAGTATGAACTTGGGCAAAATGCAGCAAGATATTTAAAAAACAGTTTTATCGATTAAAAAACACTATATCGGATTCATATCGGTATCGGCAGATATCCAAATTTATGATATCGGTATCGGACATAAAAAAGTGGTATCATGCCATCTCTAGTATAAATATTTATAAACAGTATGTTGACATATTTGTGTAACCTAAGCACTGTTAAATATTTAATTCCTAAGCCAGGTTAAAGAAAAAATGGCTAGTACCAAGTTGGACCTCTTTTTGCCTTTTGAACTACCTCAATTCTTTGTGTCATAGATTCTTCGTGGTGCTGGAAACATTCCTCTGAGATTTTGGTCCATGTTGACATGATAGCATCAGACAGCTTCTGCATATTTGTCAGCTGCACATACATGATGCATATCTTGTGTTCCGGTAACATCCCAATGGTGCTTTGTTGGTTTGAGCTCTGGCGACTGTGGAGGCCAGCAAACACATTGTCATGTTCAGGAAACCAGTTTGAGATGATTTGAGCTTTGTGATATGGTGCATTATCCTGCTGTAAGCAGCTGTCAGAAGATGAGCACACTGTGGTCATAAAGGGATGGACACAGTCAGCAACAGCACTCAGTTAAGATGTCATGTTTAAACAATGCTACAGCAATGTGCTGTGCATTCAGAGATGCTTTTCTGCATACCTTTGGTTGTAACGAGTGGTTATTTGAGTTACTGTTCACATCCTATTCTGTCCATTCTCTTCTGACGTTTGGCATCAACAAGCCATTTTTTGAAATACTCATCTTCCCTTAAATCACATATCCGAATGGCTAAATGCACGTGACAGGCTGATTAGAGGTTTGCATTCATGAGCATTAGAATAGGCATACCTAATAAAGTGTCCAGTAAGTTTAGTGATATATATATATATATATATGTTTTTCTTTTATGATAAGCAGGATCTGTAGTCTAATTGTCATGAGCTAATGTTGAATGTATAAAAGCTAGATCAAAAACAGGCACTGTTGTAGGTCTGCATGAGGCTGTCACGTGTAGAAAATCTGTAAAACATGCCTCACAAGTTTGTCATGATTTACATATTTCAGAAGTCGGGGGACATTTATGTAATTCTGCTGGATCCAAAAAGCCTTAAAAACAGCATTAGTAATTTTTACCCAGCCGCCAGTGGCAGTCAGCATAATGTCTTCTTTAGCAGCATTTCACACTTGGAAATAAGCTCTCATTTCATCCATCATTCCGCTCATAATGACAGATGAACCATAATTATGTAATTTCACCAATGACTGCAGTTACAGAAACACTTAAGCAATTCCTAAAAACACACACCAAGTGACATGTGTTTCTTAACCATACACCTCTCATGATATGTTTCTCAGCTTCATGATGGCCATGCCTGTTGACACCCTTAAACTATTTTTGTGTGGTCCAGGATCTATTATTGGCTTTGGCTGTAAGTGCTTTCTGTTCCATAACAAGATGAATCCCCAACATGGCATTAGGTTACCAGGCAACAGTGTACACTCGACTGCTCGCTTATAATTTTCTTTGTATAGTTAGGATGTTTAATAGTAAGTGACTACATGACAGTGTGCCAAATTTAACCACTGGTAGCAGAACCCGTAGAGCCTGATGTATGTCAGGAGGCATAGAGGCGAGCGGGCTATATTTGGCTGCTATGTTCCCTTCAAAGAGGCGAGTTCTAGGCCTGGACTTGACATTTCTCTTAGACTGGAAAAAATGGGTTTGGGTCAGTGAGTTTTCGTGGGAGGAGGGGTGTTGTTGATGCCCAGAGGAAGGTGCCGCTCTCTGTTCTGCAGCGGCTCATTGTTAAAATCAGCAGTCTTTATTAAACAAAAGGTTGTGAGGGCTTGCCAGAGGATTCATATTACTTGAATGTACATAAGCTACATATAAGAACAAGAGCATTAAGGTCAATAGCTTATTAACTTCTTTCTTACATTTTCACTTGAAACAGGACTATTTGTCTTGGTTATTGAAAAGATTAGGACAAATTGTATCATGAATGGAAGGTGTCA